CAAGCGCTCTTAGTTAGATAGTATCTCTGATAATTAAGCGACAATTATTTAGGGGAAACGCGTATTGAAGTTACAAGCTGTCATGCAAGGAATTAAGTGTCACGTAGTCACGCAAAAAAAGAAGAAGAAGTAAGTTTTGTGGCGGACGCCTTCGTAAACCTATCCGGGCCATTTTTGAATCCAACATTTTAAAAGTATCTCTAATGCCAAGACCTTCTAGGAAAAATCTCCTTCCTTTTTGGGGAAGCATAAGTTAAACTTGAAGATTCTATAATCTTCTTCCTCTGGGAAATTCAAGAAGTTTGTCTTGGAAATTCGTCATAACATTATGCTCAATGATTCTCGTTGTAAAAGGTTAAACCTAAAGATTCTATAATCTTCTTCCTCTGGGAAATTGAAGGAGCTTTTCTTGGAAATTCTTCTTATCATCATGTTTATTGATTCTCGCTGTGAAAAGAAAAGGAGATGCGTGTTACAGGTTTACCTGCTCGCCAGAGAATAGCAGAAAGCAACAGCGTGTACAAAGAGCATTTTCCGATGAGTGTCGTAAATCCAAAACAAGTTACAACTGTCAATGAGAACCAAAGAAAATCACTCAAAGAGCCAATGAGATATTTGAGCAAAAACCATGAAAACTAAGGTAAGGGTGGGGAAACACGAGTAACCAAATTGAGGTTGGGTTAAGGTTTGCACTTTATCAGTTGACAAGATGGCGCTGGTCCTCTGGGCCAATCACTTTAGACTCTCGATCAAAAATTACTTTAACTAGCCTTGCAATCTAATATCCCTTTTGTAATTTATCGCAAAACTGGGGTAGGATTTAGGTTGCAGTAGCATAAAAGCGAAAATGTCCTTTGTGGTTTAACAGAATCACTCGAAATGGCTTTCTTCTATCAGCTGTGACTCACTATCATTTATTTACTCACCGAGACTGTGTTCGCAGTAATTACCATAATATCCTTGTGGACAACGGCAAGTGTTTCTCCTCCAACAGGTCCCACCATTTCGACAATGCGGATAACATTGCGCTGAAAAAATAAGGTTGAAACCCACTGAACAAAAGACGTGGTCACAGTGCTTAGCGATAGAGCTTGGTTCGACCCCTGGCTAAGTTAAGGCGGCCTTGGGTAAGACATCTCTAATCAGGACCCAGTTGTTCGAAGACCGATTAGCGCTAACCCAGGGTTAAATTTTAATCCAGCTTTCTATATTTCTCGGTTCAAAAGCCGTTTTAAGAGAATTTTCCTAATTCTTCTGAGAGCGTTCAATCATCAAATTGTAAACAAATGGAATTAAAGTGAATTCATTTTAAAGCTTTCAGATCTGCTATTAAATTTAATCTCAAGGTAATATGTGATCTTGTCAAATATTATTAGCTACTTCTTTTCTCATAAGCAGTTTTGTTGTTTTCAAAATTACCTGGAAATTACTCTTTTGTTAAATTCTGTCACCTTTCCATGTCTTCATGTTTTCTATTTATATGCAAATTTTATTATTTCAGACTTCCTTCCTAGCTTAGATAGTATTTTTCCTCTTCTCTCCCTTCCTTTTTATATATATTTTTTCTTTTTACGTGTGCATTTGTTCTTCAGTTTTCTTGCTGACCTATAATTTATAATTTATTTTTATTTAAAACTGATGTCAACTGGCTGCCTGGCCCCGCTAGCCCCTATGGTTATTGCAGGCAGCCAGTACTCTAACTTATACTTTTTAATATTCTCTTTGTTGTAACTTTTTCTGAGCAAGAGTGAGTACAAATAAAAGATTGTTGTTGTTGTTGTTGTTGTAACCCTGGGATATCTTAACTCGCTTTTGAACAACCCGGCTCAGGAGCATAAAGAAGGAGTAGTAAGGTTACTGGTGACTTCGTGATGGGCGCCTTCGTTGTTGAGCCACCGGGTATGAAAGACTAAGTCTGACGGTCAATAACAATTATTACGACCTTGTTCTCAAGGCCGCAAGAAACGGCGTGGCCAATTGGACATATCCACCAACCTCGTTCCCAGGGTCTCTCATCTTCCCGCCCCATGAAGAGAGACAGAGAGAGGCCCTGGGAACGAGGTTGCATATCCTCTAGGATTCAATTTAGACCCGAATTCCACAAGAAGGGGGAATAGTTAGTGAAGAGGCTGATACTCCCTAAGGATTTTAATAGCTATACCAGTATACCTGAATTAAGAAAACAGAGTTTTCTCCGGAGAGGAATTTACCTTTTTCGCACCTCTTTCCGTGCCAGCCGTAAGGACATGAGCATGTGTTTGGCTTATAGCACACACCAAAATTCATGCAAGGCGGATTGCATATTGCTGAAATGAGAGATGAAACGTTAATAAACTGGTGACAAAATTACAAAACTCTTTACTTCCTATGATTAGTTTGCATATTCTCCATACCGTTCTCTATACATCTCTAGAGGTGCCGACAAGGAAAATTCGTTTAACAATCAAAAGCTTCTTTCGTAACCTTAAAGTTTGATTCTGGGGTGATGTTGAAAGGAAAAATTAGATGCTAGTCCTTCTTAGGAGTTAAAAGTTAATATATTGTAATTGTAAGTGGCATTTGAACATTTAATAGTTCCCTGTCACTTTACGTCCTCAAATACGAAGAGTCTCAATCAATAGACAATACATTAACCCACAATACCTTGGAGGCAGGATTCACCAGTGAAGCCCTTGGCACAGCGACACTTATTTGGTCCCACGCACACGCCGCCGTTGTAGCAGTGTGGGCTGCAGGAGACTGGGGAGAGAAGGAAACGAAAGCGTCATCTAAATTACTCAGCACTACTAACTATGCAAAATTCTCAAAAGCATTCATTCGTACTTTATCTTCATATCGGGTGCTTTGACACCACATGATCATGAACCTAGTCTATAGCAAAGCTCGTGAACGAGTTTTCCGTGTGATTTGATAAACGGCATTGGACAGTGAAATCGGTTTGTTTTGCACGCGGTGTTCTTGGTATTGCCACTAAAATGTTAATATCCAGGGTTCTAGTTAAAGGGCCGGTAACCAATTATTTTTACCGGCTGTTCAAGTAAATGCTACTGGCTATTTCACTGAAACCCAGGACTGAAATATTTACCGAAGTTATCCAACAATTTTTTCAATTTTTTGGAAAAATACTACTTGTCTCCTTTTACAACCAATGCTGTGAAGATATCTATCACATGTTGCCGGTTTGAAAATATATCATATGTTGAAGAAATCCTGCATTTTTTGACCAGATTCATTCTTCGCGGCCAAATGAAAAGACACAGAGTTTTTTAAGAAACATCACGGTTGACAACATGGCGTCCACATGAGGAAAACTTGCCCCCAGACCCCGGTTCGGGTCTTTACGGTCCACACACTCCCAGCATGTGGGGAAGGTAACAAAGTTACTTGCTATTTCTTATTTTTTACTTCCCTATGAAAAAACTTGGCAAGAACCCTGAATATCCCCCTTTTAATTAAAGATTCCTTTGCGTGGGTCCGATACTCACGTCTGCAATACGGCCCCACGAAACCCGGTAAACAATCACACACATTGGGTTTGACACATCTGCCACCATATTGACATGGTGGATTGCACAGCACTGCGGAGGAAACAAAAAGGAGTTAGAACTATGAATTAAAGTGAACGATGAACTATGAATACTGTACACAGCTTGCATTTCTTAATTTATAAAACCTACAAAGTGATTATATATGAGAAAGCAACGTTATTTAGTAAATAAACCCCTTCGGGCGGCTGGTATGTCGGCTGATAATGTCCGCGGCTGAGAGATTGTCCGAAAAATGAATATTTGGCCGAGAAGCGAAGCTTCGAGGGCAAATATGAATTTTTATGAAATATCGACGCGGACGGGGGTTATTGCGTGATAACTGTCCTGTGATTTTACACCACGTGACGAAAAGTAACCAATAAAATCGCGCCAAAATTAATGGGTGGGTTATAAATGGAAAATAACGCCAAGGAGAAAGACGATCAGAATATGAATATGTAATTGTCCACAGAATTTTGCTAGTGGCTCAAGTTAAAAGCTACCACTGAAAAGCTGACCAATAGATGAAGTCAAAGACTTTGTTTCGAGTAGTTCAATGATCACCTTTCTCGCATTGTGTTCCCCCATATCCAGACGGGCATTTGCACTTATATGGTCCTACGCAAGTGCCGCCATTGCGACAGTGAATCTTGCATTCCACTGCAACAGATAATCATCATATAAAACAAAGTTTAATTAAGCTTGCGAGCTAAAAGGTTCTTCCTGCCGGATTGTGTCTCGATTTCAGTGGCACGTGGTGACTTGGAGTATTGCTACGGGCAAACCAGAACGGGATGCCAGTCCATCACGGAGTTACACGAGAATTTTGTGTGGTTCCCTTGAAACTCTACCAGTATCCTCTACTCCAGGTTGGAGCGAGGTAGATAGATAGATACTTTATTGGTAAATACTTCGCAGCATGAACTGAATTGCGTATTCACAGATATAAAATAAAAATTACTATGTACATGTACGTCTTATTATTAAAAAAATACGTAATTCGTCGTAAGGGGGGAACTTATACATTATTTGTGGCTGCTGACTATTCTGGCCGAAGCAATAAAAAAAACTGTTTTTAAGTCTGTTTGTCTTGCAAAGTGGCAAAGCAAAGGTACGCTCGTGCCTTAACCTATGAGAGGTACCACGAAAGTGGACAGAATACAACACAGTGATCAGGCCAGAATTCGAACATAGGCCTTTTTATTTCATTGCACCAGCCTGAAGACTCCTGCGACTCTCATTGACAAAGTTTAGCTTGATTCCATAAATCTCATCAGGTTTGCACGTAATTTAAAAAGGTAAATTAGCCTCTGATACGAATTAAGTCCATTTTGTTTTCATTCAAGAACAACACTCTTTACAAACCTTTCTCACAGACGTCACCATGGTAACCTGGCTGACAGCGGCATATATTTCGACCGCTGCAGAATCCGCCATTTAAACAAGAACGATCACACTGGGCTGACAATGGGAAACAGAAAAAAAATTCTTCATTTCCACAACTATATTTACATGGCTCCTAATGATGTGAACCTTTCTACTGATTGGCTCCTGTTATAACTCGACAAGGCTTCGTCATTGGGTCAAGAAAATTCTCGCCATACTTTGAACCAATCAGGTGCAAAACGAAAGCTGCTTACAATTGGGTGACACACATTTACCCGCGCTTGAGGTGGGCAACGGACTTTCGGGGATTTAGTTTTCCGTGAACGATTGATCTTCCGGGTTTTGGTTAATCCAGATCCTTAACGAAAAGTGGTGCACAAAGCCAATTCTCTTTTTGTGAAAAGATAACTTATCCCGCGAAAAACAGTCTCGCCAGTTTGCCATGGTTGCTCTGATAACCGACATACTTAAAGAATAGGCTGTGTGAGCTCGCTTAGCAAGATCCCAAACCAAACATCCCGGAACCAGGGCAGCCCGCTAAATGGGAAAAATTTGGTCTTATGCTCAGATCACAAATTCCAGACCAGTTAACGGCTGAGATTTAGGGCCCATCACTGTTCATGTGGGAGCCTAGTAACGCGCGATCTTTTAATTAAGTTTCAACCCAGTTATAAGCTGGAGAGTTACATTTGGTAAAATTTCCAAGTCAGTTACCGAACTCAGGCGGTGAAAACTAAGATCTGGGTTATTGTGTTGGCCCGTCTTCTCGAGGCGGAGTTGAGTGCACTGACCGTCAACCCATTGCGTTCCCCAGCGTTTTTCGAGTGAGCAAAAAGACAGATTCTTTAAAAGTGAGTGGTCTGCTGTACCTGGGCAGTCTTGCAAGTAGCATTCTTTTTCCTCAAAGGTTTGGATGGCCTTAAAGCATTCGTCTTTTAATGTTGGCTGACCTTTGTCATCGAAGAATCTGTTTTCCATATCACACATCATCACGCGCATCCTTTTCCCTTTACCACAAGTCTTGGAGCATGGTGACCATTCCGACCAAGAGATCTCCACTGCGAAAAAAATTGTTTTAAAAAATAAACATAACACAAACTGTGGTATCGTTATAGTTTACCCGAGTTCCCCTTAAGTTGCTTTCGATTTAATTTCGTGAAACCAATCCAAAGTTATCACAATCTGACTGCCAATCAGAAAAACTGAAAGTAATGCAAGGAGCCAATAAGAATTCAAAGTTTAGACGTGCAACCTGCCTGAAACGCGGGAAAAAGCAAAGAAGCTATTCATCATAAGGCTTACTTGTACTTTTCCATTCATATGAATGATGTAGAGTTTCACCATCGATTGCGGGCCAAAATAAAGCAAATAAATGCGATCCAGAATTGCGCATCATTATAAATTGATAATTTCTCTATATCAAATATCTTCACGATTCCTTGAGCGAGACGAGAGTCCATCCCTGGTCCTTCTTTTCCCTACATCCTCTCCTCCTTTGTGAAACATACACTATTGGCATTTGTACGACACGACTGGCAAGCCTCTGAGAGGTTATGCGGTTTCAAGAAGATGACAAAACAAGGGGAATATTTCCGCCTAATATCGTTGCTTTCACGGCTCTGCTTTAAAATTACGACTTCTTGAACAAACCTTCATTTTCAGGATCATCAACATAATTTGGCGTACCAGAGCCTTCTTTCCCGTATATCTCCGAGGCACTGACTCCGCCGCTACCTTCTATTTCGTGAGTGTGAAAGACCTGCGCAACAAGCCAAACAGTTAGTTTCAAATAAAACTAAGCATTAGTAAGACATCGAATTATAAATAAATAACTAAGTAAATAAATAAATAAATAAAAATTACTGAAACTTTAACCCACTCACTGGTTTGAATATTGGAGGATCGCACTGTTGTCTTGATGCACCGGGATCTGGGACGAAGTACAACTCGCTAATCTCAATCTGCAAAACATGGCGGACATTTCGTGAAGCTACGTTAAAGCATACGCATACAGTATTACACCTGATAAAGCGAGTTTCCACTCAAAGGTCAGAATCTTTCGGTGTATTGAACACTTTTGCTGTGTCATCAAAATTAATTGAAAGATTGCTCAGTTCAACAAACTGTCACTATACTACATAAGATTCCTGACTATAACAGGACAGACATGTGCGTCGATGTGTTTTCCCGCCTGTTTTAGCACTAGCTTGATTTTTTCCAAATTCTACCTCATTTTTCCTCTCGCATGACGCAGCCTTCAAGATTTCCTGCCCTGCTGCGATGGTGACTGAAAGATGTCCCTTGGTATCACGAGATACTCTCATAAGTTTGTCGATTTTAACGAATTTACATGAAGAATTTACTTGTTTATTGATTGTGGAAGTTAAGCAAAATTTTGCCTGGTATCAACCAACTCACCTCGTATCTTTCTATGGACGATACAAGCACTGGTTCCCCGATGCTTATTTTATCCATGGCGTCCATAGCGAGAGTAAACTTCTCCCGTAAGGTCTTGGACCCAATCCTCGCGCAGTCCCAATAGGCCGTGACATTTCGTTCCTGGATACTTATACCCAGGGTGTGCCAGTAATCTGTTTTTACTCTCACAGGAAAGTCCAGCGACCATCCGCGAAATTGAAAGAGGGAGCTTTTCTCGAATCCAAAACTCACCAGATCTGGTGTGATTCTTACTCCTAAGCTCAAAGATTTGCGGTAATCGTACATAGCCACTAGGTAAATGTTTGTAAGTGCTACGACGCGAAATCTAAATAGCATAGAAAAGTCATCGGGGAAGTAATTGTAATACCTAAACACTTTTGAAACAGGTATGGATTTGATGACTCCATTTTCTACTTTTATGTTGTCGTGTCTTGAAAGGGGTGGAATTTGATCCTCTCGGATATGTCGAGCTATGTCCTTTAAACCTGAAAATGAATCATTGATATTACGAAAATTAATATTTATAATAATTTCAAAATAATTGATCAAAAGTAATTGTTAGTATGACAACTAGGACGATGGCAAACGGCAAAAATTGACGTAGTTTTCAGTTTTTTCAAGATATATGTAATTCACGTAACAACAAATTCAATAACCTCAAGATGTAGCTACATGGAGTGGCGAAAGAAGTCGGCACACCTTCCTTTTTTTAGGTGGTCGACAACATTCCACACAACACAATAAACAAAAATATTGTAAATTATGTCTAATAAATAACTTGCAATTCGCCCTTCCCCCTGAATAATGTTGCCTAAAAACTGGGAAAATTTTGTAACACCAGGCAACTTTGAAATGGGGAGAGAAGATGAGAGAAATAAGTTCTAGGAAAAATTCAAAAGTGTTAGAGCTTGCCAAGACTTTTCCCACTCATTATAGCACCATCAAACAGTTGGCGACATTTTATTGTGACAAACGCAAAACAGTCTGTCTTGGTTGACCAAAAACGCGACAAAATCTCATTGTTTCTTACCTGTTCACAAATGCTAACTTAATTTGGTTTAATCTTTTACAAGTAATTTTCAATTCAGCGTCGTACGCTATCTGGGATTGCTTTGGTTTCGCTTACTCCGCTATGTGATTGGTCCAGAAAACTCACGCTATCCAAACGACCAATCAGGTTCAAAACGGAAACCGTTCGCGAAAAGGCCACTTCCGCTTTCCCGCGCCTCAGCAGTTTGCTAGTTTTATTTTGAGCTCTCATTGGCTGATAATGTTATTTTTCTTTTCCTCCGATTGGCTGTTGCGATAACTGTCATTTTGTATTTTACGATACTCAAAAACAAAGCTCAGATGGTCAGGCCTTCTTGCTTACTTTACAGCCTAAGTTGATCAGTATGCATTTTCTCCATACTGTTCCCAACACATTTCCTGAGGTGCTGTCAAGGAGAATTTGTTTAACAATCTAGAGCTTCATTAGTTGGTGATCATTTCCTTCATTCTCCTGACCTTTATGTGTGATTCAGGGGTGATATTGTAAGGAGAAATTACATGCTGGTCACTCTTAGGGGTTAACGGTTTAAACTAAGTGTCTCGGCAACCGCCTCGTAAAACGAAACAAAATAACCTCACCATAGCACTCGAACTCGTTACACTTCCTTGATTCTCTGGAGCTGCCATCGCACTCTTTATTCACGCATACCCTAGTGCGGAACTGTTCACCCCCATCACAGTTTTTATTGCAGCGACTCCAGCTCGACCAAGTTTTCCAACCTAAAACGAAGTTGTGACAGGGTGCAAGTGTGAGGTAAGATGGAAATAATTGCTGTAAAAAATCCAATAACGAAAAAAAGAGGCTAGAGTCCAAACTTTGTAGAAAATATGGATTAACTCGTTAAAACAACCAGAACATTCAGCTTAAATAAAAACTCCAAAAACTTCTTGAAATTCGAAACTAATAGTAATAATACTAATAATAAAAGATTTATACCGCGCCAGTATCCTGCTGTTCAAAGGCGCCTGTTGTTCATTTATTGAGAGACAATAAATAAACAACAACCAAACTAACTCCGCAAAAAGAAAAATGCGACAACCAAGATACGCGCGAAATGTCCACGTCTCTTATTGGAATCATGTGACACACTCAAGTGGAGAAGCAGTGTTTTATGCTACAGAAACTTGTCAATATCCCCTACTTGAACCACTTTTAACCCAAGTATAAATATTACATTGATTGTTCATTTTTAACAATCCGGGATGAAACAAAATTCTTAGCGCCTGTATGCATTCAGCTCGCGCTTTGCACTGTTTAAATTTTCTTGGTAGCGCTTGCTAAGTAACTAAGGATAAAAAGGCTCCTACGCAACAGGTGTATTGACGAGTGGAAACATTAGATAGGAAAATAAAGCTGGATACATGGATATAATTTTTCTTTTTGCCACAGCAGCCGAATGCATCTCGAATGAAACTGTTGGTAAGGAAGTTTGACCTGTGTCTCACCTAAGAGAGTGTTTTTTTCCTTATTGCGCGAGTCCTTCCTCGAGCACGCAAAATGAGCTCTTGTGCCCGTCCTTTTAAGTTTTTAAAAAAACAAATTATGTAACCGAACTTGAACAATTCGCAGTCCCAGAGGATGATCTGAGGTCAAACGACAGGTGTTGTTTACAGCAAATAAGGAAATCAGTGCCAAAAATAAAAGAGTGTAATCTGTTTATGCGGTTTTGTTATGCGAATGCAAGTCTTAATCTCTAGAATTAAATGTTTACAGAACCTCCACATATAGATTAAAGGGTTCTAAAGCCATCAGTAATCTACACCACGGTTTTTTAGCTACTTTTGCTAGTTTCGCCCTATCTAATTTGGTAGTATATTGCATTCCGTTAAACTGAAAGGAATTCCACGAATTTAAGCCGTACAAAACTTAGAAAAAATATAACAGTCTTTCATCTGAGGCAGTCATTACCAAAAAGGTGATAAACTAGAAAACTATCCAAAGTGTTTATATAGTTTAGCACAGTTATACGATAGTGGGTTAAAAGGAGAGATAAGCTCCCCTTTAATTTTTTTTGGCCTTCTAACGCGCGCGTGCGAAAGCAAATTAGATTATCAATCCTGAATTACCAAGACTAGATCGAAGAGTATCTCGAAATTCTCATATTTCCGACTACACCTTAAAACAGATTGAGGGCCCACGAGGTTTCAATTAGCTTTGGTGACCTGTGAACGCCCCTTTAGCCTGGCCGACTACACTCTCTGCAAATCTTTGTCTCAGATGCTATTGAAGGGAATTACTAACAGTAATTCACCGAGGAGAAGTGAAATAACCACGCAAAGTTTTAGCAAATAGTTATTTATTAAGCGAAATTCCAAAGTAGAATAGTAGTAGTGATTGGAAGAAGTTTGACAGGAATTGATTAGTTTGACGGAAAGTAACTTAAGGTATTCAAATAAACCAGAAGAACCACGTTTGAGGCCTCAGCGCCCCTATGCGTGTATCACTGTTAAATGAATCACTTTTCACTGGTCTTCGCAGCAGATAGTGAGACATTCCGTGACATTTAAACACATCACCCAATCAATCAACCTTGGTGCTCTGTAAATATGCCCGCTGACTGATTAAGCTCTGACTTTGAACATGTGTGCACGCGACAAAACATTTTAAGACAATTATGTTCATGAAGTTATTATTTTTTTGCGCACCTGAGTTGTTTAATCGCATACTGACATGAATTATTTCGAAAATTCCTCTCTTGTTTTCCTGAAAACCATAGTTAATCGATTAACTATGCGAAAACTGTTCACTTCTGAATACAAAATGTCACTGCAAGCATCGGGGTCAAAGACTCAAAACAAAAAGAAACTCATAAAAAAAGTCAGTGCCTGGTCACTCATATTTCCTATTTCATCGTTTTTAGGAAGGTTAAGAGTTTGTTTGTTTAAGACTTTAAAAGGGTCAATTCTCTTAATTATCAAAATAAAAATGGTGTCTGGTGGCAGAAGCTGACCTTGCCTAATGAGTGTGAAATTCAATGGCTATAATGTTTCGTTTTATTCATTTCTCCTTCCCCGCACTCTTTTGAATCACAAAAATCGGTAGCCCATGATCTGAAGAAATCGCGGGTTGCAGATATACCGTTCGCGTGAAAAATTGCATGTCCTGCAGACTTGCGTGACCGCTGTGGGAACACACAAACACGATTACGGCCATGATAAATTGAATTTCCGTTATCCAGATTTAAAACTGTATCCAATTCAAAACAAAGTCGATTAAGAAGCATATCAGAAATGATACCACCATAAAAGCAACAATGATACATTTCGCAAAGATTCGAGGAGATTGTGTAACACATGGCGTAAAGCTTCTTCTAAAAAAAAAAAAGAGCAGGATATTTATAACTAACAGGCTTTTAGCTCAACTTGTGATCCTGACACACTCGGTAATCGCTGAGATGCATTCAGAGAGATCGAATTCCACTAAATGACAAAGAGGAAAAGAAAAGTCTTTGAAAGAGAAGATTTCTGCGTGAGAAGGGTCAGAGAAATTATGCTGGCATAATTTTGGGTATTATTTCCTTAGTCAAAACATCGAGCATGATGCTGGCACAATGATTAAACTTCTTGAAAACTTTCTTGGTGTTACAGTAAAAAAGAGAGAAATTCTGTAGCCTGGAAATATCAACAATGAGCCTGTTTTTAAAGCTTACACTCAAGGAAAAGTTTGTTCGAGTAAAATGTTATGTTCTGAACTTCGTTAGGCCTTCTTTATTCCTTTTACCAGTTGGTGGTAGAATTGGGAAGGGAGAGGTTGACGTCATTGCTCTTTAAAGCTGTTACTTTGATCCATTAAATCGAGTCTAGTGAAAACTTATGAGCATCACGACAATTTTGGATGCGTTGCATGTTTCCTGGGGTGACGCTCAAAAGCAGAATGCTCAAATTTTCGAGCATCTTTTATCTGACCCTATTTTTGAGAGCATGGAAGACTGTGTCCTGAGGTGACTAAAAGTTTTGCCATCTTGGATTGACAAAAAGTAAAGCCTTAAAATTTTTTAAGGTTCAGAAAAATAACAAATCGTTTAGGCTCAGTTCTAATTCCATTATATTTATTACTTAATGTCTGATACCCTGTTTTTCAAACACTAAAACATGGTTAATCGTCTTGGCAAATCTCCAGATTTCATACTGACACATTTTCCCTAAACTTAAATGCCAGTTTTATAAATTCAAGCACTTTCAATTCCAGTCAGATAATTTTTCGGTTCAGTTTCTACCACTTATTTTATCTATCACATCGTACTCCAAAACAGTTTACAAGAATGCCAAACCATTCCCATTTCACTGATCTTGCGCACGTACGCAAGGTGTGTTTAAAGGCCGAGTACCTCGGCTTTTAATCTTCTCGAGTACATGACATGACAAGCATATGAAGATAAAAATACAACAAGCTTAAAATACCACCATGTCGGTATGATAATTAGGATACCAGACAGAAGGGGTCGCAGTAAAACCCCATATCATATTTTGTGGGTTAAGGACAAGATTGTTAGAGATAAAGACATTCCTCAAGTGCTTCGGAGCAAAATAATAAAATGGGTATAACACTACGGAACTTGATAGTCAATTCTAGTGCAGTGGAAAAAGGCTCTGTGATGTGACATCGCATAGAAAACCACCGAGATCACCAAATGGCCACTTTGCAGAGCAGTTTTCAGAAATCTAGATAAAATTACAACTCGGTGTATTGAGGTGTCCTTTTGCTGACCGAATCAGTGCCGTGCCCCCTCAAAAAGAGGGCGATTAATTCAAATCTTGAAGATCTCTCGTGCCATATTGCGGATTACACTTAGAACTTTTCTTGTCTAAGCGAAGAATATTTTACAGATCTCCGGCGTATTACTCCTTTTTGTTTAAGAATTTTTTCCTCGCACCGTTCTCCGCAGACATATCCACAACCTCGTGCCGGAGACGTCACGAAAACGAAAGGAAAACGTTACGAAACGAATCGTCCATTGGACAATTCGTTTCGTAACGCTGCAGGGAAGCTAGAGTCACAGTATTTTCCGGAACATTTAAATTTTCAAATCGAAAAAGAATTGTCATACAAAGGAGTTTGAGGCTAATCTAAAGTGGCAATTTGTCCTGGCCAAGAGGTTCTTTACAAACCTTGCACAATGCAAGACGATAATATGTTTGAACATCGAGAAAGAGATTTTGAGTTCGAGACATTACGTACGATGCTAGAGTTAGCCAACAACACTAAAAGTTCCTTTACCAAGACGAAACGCCCCTTTACACGAACTATGACCTTGGTAACCTTTGATTTCTAGAAATACCATTCTGGCGGGAGACCATCTCATAAAAAGGGACATGGTAACGGGTGCAAATATTGAAATAACTCCGAAATAAAACGCTCAACAAATTGAGAGCTGAGATAACATCAATTTAGACCTAAAATGGTAATTAAAAGTTTTTTGATTGGTATGTTATCCGGCGATGACAAAGGATCACTTCTATCTTGTCCACTAAGGTGTTATTTTGCTTATATCACGGTCCTACCATGTTAATTATGTAGAAAAAATAACTACAGAAAAGTGCGCATTCATGTTGATAAGCAAAAGTATTTGCTTTTTTGCCTCTTATGTTAAACCCACCAAATATTTGAGAGCTCAACTCTAAATGGACATGATACTACAGCCACGCGTGGCGGCTCGACAGGAAAACTCACAGAAACGGGTCAAAACATGAAAGCCAATTTTAGGATCAAGATTAAATCTGCGTTGATTAAAGAGCAGCGAACAGCTTCCAGGTGCCTCGAAATGATGAAGAGATCGTGATCAATCCAGTGAGCTTCTTTGACTCGACACGCGCACGTTTGAAATCAATCCTGAAATTTTAGCTTACTTACAATTAAGTCTGAAATCTCACTGTTTGTAAAAAGTCCAGAAATAACGGATGAAAATTTCGCAACATATCAAAAAAAAAAAAAAAAAGAAAAAAAAAGATAGCTGTAAGTAAGTGCATCTATGATAAACCTATCCCTTGTGTAAAAATGATGCACCCATCTTGTTCGACCTTTAAGACCCGAACATTCTTCAAAAAGGCCAAATTTTCTCTTACTCACTAAATTCTGTCAACTGAATGCAGTCATTCTCAAATTCTCTCTAGACAACAGAAAACGTTCTTACCACACTACTTACAAAGAATAACCACGATGATAGTGATAATGACATTAACAATCTTGTTTAAGATAACGATAAAATACTACTTTAAAATTTTTTTTTGGTTCAAAATCATATCCTGTGTGCGTGTTTCCCCAGAAAGATTCCGTGATATTCCTCTCCGGGTAGAAATTGGATTTTTATGATTTGTGAAAAGGGATTTGAGCTCTATCCAACTTAATAAAAACTGAGTAAAATTAAAGAAATGAGAATGGTTGTCAAGGGATGGCTAAAGAGAAATCTACGATTGCCACAATTCAAAAAACATAAAATTTCTTATATCGATCGAAAAGACACGAACTAGACGCTTCTAGCTTTGTCTGAACTCTTGACAAATCTTGTTGTTGACAAACTGAATATTCCCAAATTCTCTTTATTGGATTCAAATCACCACAAAATATTTTAATCTGTTTAGATTACGTATCACAAAACAAACATCCGCAAAAGGTGTAATTCTTGGCTACAACTCACAGGGAGCCAACCGCAGTAGAGAGAACCTTTTGTTTGAAAACTGGTTCATGTGATAATTTATTGTGTGAGTTTTCATAGTTTCGTCGAGGCAAAGACGCTAAATTTCGAGTTCTGAACAGATGTTCAGTTACAATTAATCTTCCCACGAAGTTATTGGATCGGAGATTTGGGTGCTTAGATTAGTTTTTCTCTTTAATACCGAGCGATTGATTAGATTCTCCGGTCCAAAATTTTTTTGTCGAAAACCACGCAAATTTTGCCAAGGAATCGATTCGGCTCAATGGTTTGAAAATAAACCCTTGGAAAAAAACTCATGAAAATCTTTTCTTCTCCATTCTTGATCCTAATTACTCAAACAGTTTGTTGTATTTGTCTAGTACTTGAAGAAAATTAGACTAATTTTCGCTTCTTTGCTTTGGGTTATGAGCATGATAGAATTTCATCTTATGGAATTTGGGGAAATGGTTTAATGTAATTACTACATGGAACACAGACAGATATTATTTTCAGCCGACAGAACAACTCAACCTTAATTGATTTATTAATTGTGTTTCATGTAGTATCCCTTGCAAATTTTTTCACTCTTTTCTGTAAAAATTAAAAAAAAAAAAAAATGATAGTGAGAAAATCGCCCCACATAAACAATCTACCGAATCTGAATAATCGCACGACGTACTACTAGTTAACTCTCATAAATTCCTACCAGAAAACAACACTTAGGGAAAACGTGTCACAAAGGGGCGATTACTCGATGGCGTAACTTTTTCGTTTGCTTGCGATTTTACCATTTTTTTTTCTTTAACCGTAGCTAAGCGGTGAAGAATTCTTATACAAGCTGAAACTTGTGCAACGTAGCTTGGAAGAAGGATCTGATTGTCGCCACAAAGGTGTTATGGAGACGTATATTTGGTCGTCACCTAGGGATTATATCAATGAAGATTGAGTTAATCCGCTATGTTGTTAACAAGGAGAGACTACGAGGCACCACACGAGCTAAAGGTGGATTAAGTTACGCTCAACGATTTCCCTTGAAGGGACTCGAAGGTGTCGAGGCAAGCCACAAATGTGTTTATGAATACACCATTAAAAGGAGAGTGATTTCTTTTATAGCACTGACACTTAAAATGAAAGGGGAGAACCTCAAGGAAAAATTATCAGCTTTAACAACGATCTTGATTTTTAAGAAAAAATCTGATAATTTGAATGAAAAACGTTGGAAGTTGTGGTAAGGATTTGGTCTGAAACGAAATGAAAAACCAAACATCGCTTTCACACCGAGTCCCCCAGTTTTCCTTTAACTGGAAGAAAAAAGAATGAACAGGATATCAGTGCAGATTTGGTCCCTGTATGAATCTATCGCAGCGTCTCAAGCGCGTCTCGGCTAAAAACGTTCCGCAAAATCTGCGGGTCGATTTAATTATTTGGACGGCTCAGTTATATTTTGAGATGATCACTTTTCACACTCATCAAACTACAAAAACATGAAGGCGCTTAACGCCAATCACTGTCAAGGAGGTTAAAAGAGATCGTTTTCGAAAACAGTCGGTGTTCGTTATCTCTGCCAAACCACCTAAAAACAAACTGCACCAACGAGGAGGGATCCATTCCGGAAATTCTTGAAGAGAAATGGCTCTGTTATTTGCTGATAAAAAGTCTTTCACTCGTGAAAGCGTTCCGCGATAAAGTTGGAACGAGACTGAGAGGCAAAGTGGATTGCGCGCTGTTGACAGTTGTTCACGGGAGACTGATTAGTTGCCACAAACACTGGAGATCTTCACTATACTTCGGGATGGCTTTTATTTATTCTTCATATGACAACAAGGGGGTGTGAAATTAAGCCTTAGATAACTGCTATGATGTCTTCAACCGCTGCCTTGCGGGGCGTTTTGCTTTGCAGGTGAAGCGTGCACTTCTGCAGAAATGGTTTTTCAATCTCAGTAGCATGGCAGAGTGCCTTGCAACAAATCACAAAAGCAGATGTTAAAACCCGTATCTTGTACATTTCTAGAACGATTCTTGACAGCTTGGAAAAGGTTATTAATCACACGTCACAGATTTTTGTCCCCTTTGGAGGAAATGATATAAAACACGATGGATCTTTACCGCAAATCGTACTTTGCATTGTGTTGTTGTTACTGTCAATGAACCATCATTAAACTGTCACGTTCTCGAAAGGATTATAACGTCGCTCAAACGGAACAACGTACTAAACCACACATTTCCCCCCTCACGATCGCCAAGCGACGCAAATCTTTCCGATTTTAAGTCGCACCTCGTGACGCGCGGGAAACAATACGAACAACTACCAACAAATATCCTGCAAATGCTTAAAGTATTCCCTAAATTGATTTGTTTTTCCATTGTTCTAAACATATTTATATGATTCCCTTGGTGCAATATGAAAATACGTGAGAAAAAGCCCAATCAAAGCTGTTTGTTCTTGATCAGCTCCGATATTAAAACGTCTCCAGCGATGAAATGATTTTTGTTAATGTTAAAACAGGGGAATGCGCGAGGATATTTATGCAATCCTTCGTATAATTAATGAACAAATTAAAACGTAGAGTATTGTCGCGAGATAATGAACTAATAAAATCTTTAATGCTACTCACCCAATGCCAGCAGTACCTCTTCCTCGTTCTTGGCTGTAGCCGGTGCGGTGGCCCCAAAGATGTCGTCGTATCTGGCTATGAGCGCGCGAGACTCATTCGCATACACCATGAAAACCATGTGAACTTCTCCTGGATTTACTGGCGAAAAACAGTTCATCTTTTCGCCAAAGCCATAAACTTTCACCAGTGGGGACGACTGCGTTTCTAAAACCTCCTCAACGAATTTGCTTCCCTTGAGAATTTTCCATACTTCGAAATCCGCTGCATGTGTCGATGTTGCATCGTACGAGTAGAGGTTCACCACTTTCCCAATGAACACCACTTTGACAAGTTTAGCGCGCTCTCCTGGGCTTAGTTGCTTCCACCCATCAAGCAACTGAATACAGGGTTTTGAGAACTTGGGTATCGTTAACAAAAATAGCAGCAAAATCACCGGTGATCGCGTAGAGGAGCGCATCATTTTCCAAATAGCTCGTTAAACTCCGCAATTAATGAAAAGTAATACACATGTAATCTGCGTTTCACAAGCGACGGAAGCGGGCAATAAATCAACTTGAACTTGTGTCAGTTACATCTGTGAAAATTCCACTACTCTGGCGCCGTGATAACTAGCCAACCATCATTAGGTCAGTTTCATTTATTCACTCGCGTTGTAAAATGTTTACCGCACGCTCTAACAGAGGTTTATCCGATCGGCAGCGTTCATCGTGAAGCCATGAGATAACTACTGAGGCGATCTGTTCGAGATAAGAAACGAGAGAAAGCTACAATTAATCATCAATTAGTGGGATTTACTATTGACAGGGAGTCAGCAGGATGGCCTGCAATTAATCGACTTTGTACGTGGTGAAATTCCATACATTCATAAGCTAAGTTGTTTCGTTTGAGATAAACGTAGGCAGTTTTCACCTTTTTACCGCCAATCAACTCGAATTTCAAGTCAACGACGGGACTTCACTTCTCGACATTGCCCCATTCAGTTTCATCTTCAACCCAAATGGCGATGCTATAAAATGAAACTTGCAATATTAAGATCACCATAACTCCACCTTGTGTAGACTATCAGACGCTAGACGCTTACGTTACACTACCGGCAAACCTGAATTTTTGTTACAAGTCGAAGTTAATAAATCAGCTGTCTATGTGTAGTTTTTCGATATCATTACTTCACCAAAATTTGTAGATCCACAAGAAAACAATTAAACAACCGCTTATCCTCCAAAAGTAAACAAAGCGAGGGGCCAAATTTAAGAAACTTACCCTCACATGAGAAGGAAATACAAACTCGCGCTTTGTTCACAAATAAATCTATGTTGATGGTATTATTCTTCCCCGTGTCGAGCAAAAGAATTTTATCAGCTTTGAGGTCACGAAAGTTTAATCTGTCGCCGCGATTACACTCTCCCTCCTCTACTAAGTCATATTTGTACCACAATGGTATTATATCTTAGTTTGCTCATCAAACTAATAAAAATTCCTTCTCTACTTTATTCTGAAAACAAATCTCTTCCGGTGGCGAAGCGGAATAAAGGAGAAGCGTGCATGCCTATCTCCATCCACGGATCAAAAGAGGCCGGGTAAATCTGCACTTTGGAGAGCCACTTATTACCTTTATTTGAGAATAACCGAACCTGAAAACCTCGCTGAAAAATTGCCAAAATTTAAAATAGCAGAGGATATATTGTTTGTCTAGCAATCCATGTGTTGTTTCTGATGAGAGAGTTGAAATGTTTTAAACTTCAGAGAGTGACCGTAACATAAGGAGCGCGCACGAGAGTAGCAACGCGAGGAAGGCGGAAAAGCAATTGACGGTTGGGGGATGGGGGAGAACCGAGACGGTCACCCCAAACGACCCAACCTTTGTGGTATCGTCTAAGCCATGCCAGAGTGCTCAAACTGGAGTAAACCAGCGAGCATGCGCAATTGCAACGGCAATGACTCATCCTAGATAGAGTGCTCAATTTGGACATGAAAGCAAAGCTTTGTATGCCAAAGAGCTATATCTAACTGCAGACAGTACTGTTTCGGCCTTCTGGGCCTCATCAGTGCAGTGCTAATGCTAGGATGGGGGAGAACCGAGACGGTCACCCCAAACGACCCAACCTTTGTGGTATCGTCTAAGCCATGCCAGAGTGCTCAAACTAGAGTAAACCAGCGAGCATGCGCAATTGCAACGGCAATGACTCATCCTAGATAGAGTGCTCAATTTGGACATGAAAGCAAAGCTTTGTATGCCAAAGAGCTATATCTAACTGCAGACAGTACTGTTTCGGCCTTCTGGGCCTCATCAGTGCAGTGCTAATGCTAGGATGGGGGAGAACCGAGACGGTCACCCCAAACGACCCAACCTTTGTGGTATCGTCTAAGCCATGCCAGAGTGCTCAAACTGGAGTAAACCAGCGAGCATGCGCAATTGCAACGGCAATGACTCATCCTAGATAGAGTGCTCAATTTGGACATGAAAGCAAAGCTTTGTATGCCAAAGAGCTATATCTAACTGCAGACAGTACTGTTTCGGCCTTCTGGGCCTCATCAGTGCAGTGCTAATGCTAGGATGGGGGAGAACCGAGACGGTCACCCCAAACGACCCAACCTTTGTGGTATCGTCTAAGCCATGCCAGAGTGCTCAAACTAGAGTAAACCAGCGAGCATGCGCAATTGCAACGGCAATGACTCATCCTAGATAGAGTGCTCAATTTGGACATGAAAGCAAAGCTTTGTATGCCAAAGAGCTATATCTAACTGCAGACAGTACTGTTTCGGCCTTCTGGGCCTCATCAGTGCAGTGCTAATGCTAGGATGGGGGAGAACCGAGACGGTCACCCCAAACGACCCAACCTTTGTGGTATCGTCTAAGCCATGCCAGAGTGCTCAAACTAGAGTAAACCAGCGAGCATGCGCAATTGCAACGGCAATGACTCATCCTAGATAGAGTGCTCAATTTGGACATGAAAGCAAAGCTTTGTATGCCAAAGAGCTATATCTAACTGCAGACAGTACTGTTTCGGCCTTCTGGGCCTCATCAGTGCAGTGCTAATGCTAGGATGGGGGAGAACCGAGACGGTCACCCCAAACGACCCAACCTTTGTGGTATCGTCTAAGCCATGCCAGAGTGCTCAAACTAGAGTAAACCAGCGAGCATGCGCAATTGCAACGGCAATGACTCATCCTAGATAGAGTGCTCAATTTGGACATGAAAGCAAAGCTTTGTATGCCAAAGAGCTATATCTAACTGCAGACAGTACTGTTTCGGCCTTCTGGGCCTCATCAGTGCAGTGCTAATGCTAGGATGGGGGAGAACCGAGACGGTCACCCCAAACGACCCAACCTTTGTGGTATCGTCTAAGCCATGCCAGAGTGCTCAAACTAGAGTAAACCAGCGAGCATGCGCAATTGCAACGGCAATGACTCATCCTAGATAGAGTGCTCAATTTGGACATGAAAGCAAAGCTTTGTATGCCAAAGAGCTATATCTAACTGCAGACAGTACTGTTTCGGCCTTCTGGGCCTCATCAGTGCAGTGCTAATGCTAGGATGGGGGAGAACCGAGACGGTCACCCCAAACGACCCAACCTTTGTGGTATCGTCTAAGCCATGCCAGAGTGCTCAAACTAGAGTAAACCAGCGAGCATGCGCAATTGCAACGGCAATGACTCATCCTAGATAGAGTGCTCAATTTGGACATGAAAGCAAAGCTTTGTATGCCAAAGAGCTATATCTAACTGCAGACAGTACTGTTTCGGCCTTCTGGGCCTCATCAGTGCAGTGCTAATGCTAGGATGGGGGAGAACCGAGACGGTCACCCCAAACGACCCAACCTTTGTGGTATCGTCTAAGCCATGCCAGAGTGCTCAAACTAGAGTAAACCAGCGAGCATGCGCAATTGCAACGGCAATGACTCATCCTAGATAGAGTGCTCAATTTGGACATGAAAGCAAAGCTTTGTATGCCAAAGAGCTATATCTAACTGCAGACAGTACTGTTTCGGCCTTCTGGGCCTCATCAGTGCAGTGCTAATGCTAGGATGGGGGAGAACCGAGACGGTCACCCCAAACGACCCAACCTTTGTGGTATCGTCTAAGCCATGCCAGAGTGCTCAAACTAGAGTAAACCAGCGAGCATGCGCAATTGCAACGGCAATGACTCATCCTAGATAGAGTGCTCAATTTGGACATGAAAGCAAAGCTTTGTATGCCAAAGAGCTATATCTAACTGCAGACAGTACTGTTTCGGCCTTCTGGGCCTCATCAGTGCAGTGCTAATGCTAGGATGGGGGAGAACCGAGACGGTCACCCCAAACGACCCAACCTTTGTGGTATCGTCTAAGCCATGCCAGAGTGCTCAAACTAGAGTAAACCAGCGAGCATGCGCAATTGCAACGGCAATGACTCATCCTAGATAGAGTGCTCAATTTGGACATGAAAGCAAAGCTTTGTATGCCAAAGAGCTATATCTAACTGCAGACAGTACTGTTTCGGCCTTCTGGGCCTCATCAGTGCAGTGCTAATGCTAGGATGGGGGAGAACCGAGACGGTCACCCCAAACGACCCAACCTTTGTGGTATCGTCTAAGCCATGCCAGAGTGCTCAAACTAGAGTAAACCAGCGAGCATGCGCAATTGCAACGGCAATGACTCATCCTAGATAGAGTGCTCAATTTGGACATGAAAGCAAAGCTTTGTATGCCAAAGAGCTATATCTAACTGCAGACAGTACTGTTTCGGCCTTCTGGGCCTCATCAGTGCAGTGCTAATGCTAGGATGGGGGAGAACCGAGACGGTCACCCCAAACGACCCAACCTTTGTGGTATCGTCTAAGCCATGCCAGAGTGCTCAAACTAGAGTACACTAGC